CAAAAAATAAACCATTCTAAATCTCTTAAATTCCTTAACAATATGCAGGAAATAAGCCATATATCTTCTGCAGACCTCTCTTAAGGAAAGGCTCAATCCTGCAAAACATAAAGCAAGTTTTTTCAGCACACAGAGGGAACAAGTCAAGTTTTCTGATCATGAGGGGTCTACAGTAAGCCAGGAAAGATCAGACAAGTTCATAGAAGCAACTATGAATAAATGCAATGAGAGTCTTATGAAGTATGAATGAAGCACAGAAGAAAGAGAAATTCCTTTCATTTTTTTTGGAAAATGTGGCTTTGGAGATGAATCTTGAGAAATGGGTGGAATTTTGGCAGAACAGGATCTAAGGTAAAGAATTTAAAAGCCCATTCTAAAATTCCTATAGAAAGGCAAAGGACCCCAAAATAGCCAAAAACAGCTTCAAACCAGAAGAACAAAATGGGAGAACTTAAGTGTTACTATAAAGTTACAGTGATCAAGACATCTGGTATTGGCATAAAAAAGAAAAACAGACAAGTGGAACACAATAGAATATTCAGAAATAAAACAACACGTATACGAACAACTGATTTTCAGTAAAGACACAAAGGCAATTCAGTGGAGAAAGGACCTTTCCAACAAACAGTGCCGGGAGAGTAGATGGCCGTATGCAAAGAAAGGAACTTGGATGCATACCTCACAATGTACTCAAGTATTAACTCCAGTGGGCCACAGCCCTTCATAGAAAAACTAAGCTGTGAAACTTCTAGAAGAAAAACACAACATTAAACCTTTATGGCCTTCAGTTTGGACAGATTTCTTTAATATGACACCAAAAGTATAATCCATTTTTTAAATTGGTAAATCGGACTTCTCCGCTCTTCAAAGACATTGTTAAGCAAATGAAAGGACAGCCATAGACGAAAAGAAACTATTTGCAGGTCATCTTTTTGATAAAGTGTTCATAAGCAGCATAAAGAACTCTCAGAACTCAGTGACAACACCCCATAAAACAATGAGCCAAAGTCTTGGAGAGACACTTCACTAAAGATACACAGATGAAAAATAAGTGTGTAAGAAGACACTGAATCCCATTAGTCATTAATGAAATGCAACTTAAAACCACAATGAGATGCTACTCCACACACATTAGAATGGATAACATTTAAAAGACTTACTCTACAAGATGTTGGCAAGGAACCAAAGCAACCAGAACTCATACACTGTGAGGAATGTAAAATGATACAACAGTCATTTTGGAAAACTATTTAGCAGTTTTTTAAAAAGATAGACACACTTGTCTACCATAAGATTCAGACATTCCTCTTCTAGGCACATAAGAAAATAAAAGCCTATAATCACACAGACTTGTAAACAAATATTCACAGCAGTTTTATTTTTAATAGCCAGAAATTGTAAATAACCCAATGTTTATCAACAAGGAAATGGGTAAACAAATCATATTCATAAAATGAAATACTACTGAGGAACAAAATGGAATGAAAAATTGACACAATAAATGGATGAATTTCAAAATAATTACGCTGCATGAAAGCTGCCAGACGTAACAGCAGACACCTGCCAGATGGCATGCATCGTAATCCCTGGTTGTATAAGTAAGCCAATGTATAGTGACAGGAAGCAGATCAGCGGTTTGAGGGGAAGGGAGGGGGAAGGAGGGATTAGACACGGGCATGAGAAAGCTTTTGTGGGCGATGTATATGTTCATTGTCTTGATTGTGTTGATGATTTCTTGGGTGTTTACATAGGTCAAAATAAATTGTACACTTTAAGCCTGTGAAATGTATTTTGTAAATTGTACCTCAAAGTTGTTTTTAAAACTGCAGTTTAGCCCTGACCCACCTCCATCCATGCCTGGCTACAGTGGGAGGGTCAGCCCTCACCCCCTGACCTGCCTGTCTGGGAGGGAGGGACTCTCTCACGGAAGGCGACACCATGGGCAGTGTCCACGGTGGACAGATTTCCCTAACAATGTCTGCCCAACAATGAAAAATCCCTAGGTCTGCAGTGTCAACACTCCATGACTGATAATATGAGAGTAAGATGCATTAGACAACAAATGAAAGCCCAGGTACTGGGATCGGCAGATAAAGAATATAAGATAACTAATATGTTCAATGAAATAGAGGAAATGAGGGGTAAGACAGATTAAAGGATAAAGATTTTCACCAAGGAAGTATACTGAGAGGTTATTTTTAAGAAGAATCTAACAGATACTCTAGAACTGAAGCTTTCAATTCTGGAAACATGAACTGACTAATTTGGGTCCCTCTGAAACATAAAATTTTTAGTAATACTGGGTAAAATATAACAACAAAAATAGCCCTGTGTTAACCATGAAGGAAAGAGAAGTTTGCAGGTGACAAAAATAAACAGGAACCTTAAAGGCAGAGTAGGAAGCTTGGGGGCTGATGCCACAGCACCCTGGAGGGAAGGGGTTTTAATCTGCATAGTGAAGAGTGTCATAATGTCCATTCAGAAAAACAGGATCCATACCTGGCACACGTTCTTACTTTACTGAGACCCCCTGCATGAAAGTAAGGGAAGGGCTGCTTTCAATGAAAGGGAGACCCAGAGAACTCCACACACTGACACAGGAAAGGGGTGAGCAGACCAGTTCTACCGGAGTCTCTAGGGAAAAAGTCTCCCTTAAAAAGTCTAAACCCTAAGTTCATGCTGCATGTGGATGTGAGAGACAGATTTACTCTCGACTTACGATGCAGGGTCTCCAAGGAAAAAATAACAAAATTCCAGACTGATCAAATCACTTAGAGCCTAGGATAAGCAACACAAATTTATTCTCTAGTGAAATGTTTATAAACCAGGGTTTGTGGTACCATCATAGGAAAAAAATTATAAAGGCTGAAGAGAAACTCACACACAACTAACTCCATGTACACTCACAAACACTCACACAACCAAGAACAATCAGCAATAATTAATCATGAGTAGAAGAAGCAAACTCTTAAACCCCAGGATGATTAGTATTCCAAGAATCTAAAAATATAATCTAAAAGAGAACATGAAATAAGTATGGATGAATCATTGTAAAAAAATACATTATAGAAAATGTAATGAAAAAATCAGGACACCATGAAAAAGAACAGATAACATTTAAAAAAACAAACAGGATTTATGAAAATAAAATATGATTAATATATAAAATTCAATGGGTAGATTAAACAATAGATTGTAACTTTCTTTTTTTTAAAGATTTTATTTATTTATTTTTAGAGAGGGAAGGGAGGGAGAGAGAGAGAGAGAGAGAGAGAAATATCAATGTGCGGTTGCTGGGGGCCGTGGCCTGCAACCCAGGCATGTGCCCTGACTGGGAATGGAACCTACAACACTTTGGTTCACAGCCCGCGCTCAATCCACTGAGCTATGCCAGCCAGGCAGATTGTAACTTTCAATATCTAGTACCTTCATTAAAATTCAGGACTTATCTCTAAAATACTTAAAAAGAGAATATATACAAAAGCAGTATAATGGAGTATGTACGATAGGCCAGTCACTATTCTAAGTGCTTCGTATATTTCACCCCTTAATGCTCACAGACTTGGAGGTGGGTATCATCCCTTTTTGTATAGAGGACACTGATTCCCAAAGAGATCAGGTGTCCTGGTTAAGCCTGCACTGTTAGCAAATGACAGGTCTGAGCCCAGAGAGACTCTCTAGATTCCATGTTCTTGACCATGACTGCATGACATAAAGCAGGAATAATAGAGCAACATAAATAAACATCACAAAATACGATGCTAGAAATGAAACATCATCAGGAATTACAATATATTTTGATGGAATAAACTTACAAGTTAAAGGATAGATTTATACATAGATTTCATTTGTTTACCTGAAACAAAGCAAAATTTAAATTTAAAACATAGATTGAAAGTTAAAAAGGATGACACAGAGCTCCAAAATGAGAGAGAGGGAGAAAACATATACCAGAGAAATGCTAACCAACAGAAGGCATCATTCAAACCTTCCATAGGCTCATAATTTACTTGAAACCTAACTTGATCTTCCACTTACTAGCTCTGTGCTTTGCAAAGTACTAAATGTCCCAGAGCCTTAGTTCTCTCGCCTATAACATAGATACTCAGTTCTTCAAATAATGTTGTTTTGTTCAACAGTGTTTTGCTTGTTGAGGGGAAGAAAAGGATTCCTGGCCAGGGCCACTGTCTATATGAGGTCTGAATGTTCTTTGTATGTCCATGGGGTTTTCTCCAGGCATTCCAGATATTCAGAAACAATACTTTGTTTTTTAGTTTCACAGTCCCAGATGGAGTTTTCCCAAAGGTGGGTCACACACAGGGTCTCTCACCCATACCTAACTTAGATAATTAGACTTCTGAGCTGATGAGATTTATACTATATATTGGACTTAGAGGCAATGCTATATTGAGACTTTGGAAGATGCTGGGATGAGAGACATGTATTTGCATGCAGGATGGACATGAATCTTTGGGACCAAATGAAAGACTGTAGTAGGCTAATGTCCCCCAAACATGTCCATGCTCTGCTCCCCAGAACCTGTGTCTAAGTTACATTACACTGCAGAAGGCATTTTGCAGATGTGGTTGAGAATCTTGAGATGGGATGTTATCCTGGGTAATCCGATGTGATCAGTCACAGTGGTCCTTGTAAGAGGGACAGAGGCAGAGACGTAAAGTAGAAGCAGAGGTCGCAGTGATACAGGGCGAGGAGCCAAGGCAAGGAAGCAGATTCCTTGCCACACCCTCCAAAGGAAACACAGCCCTAAGACACCTCGATTTCAGCCCGCTCAGACTGATTTTGGACTTCGGCACTCCAGAGCTTGAAGAGAATAGATTTGTGCTGCTTTAAGCCACAAAGTTTGTTGTCTTTTGTTCAAACAGCAATAGGGAATGAACTCAGGAACCAGCATGCTGCCTGGCATGCTGTAACCAAGCTCTTGCCCCTGACCCAGGAGTCAGCCATGTGTCTCCTGTCAGATCCATGAAACTGCACCAGGCTGGCTTGTTAGCTTGCAGAAGAAGTAAAATCTTAGACCCTTCACGGTTCTTGACACTTAGTTTGTAAAAATGATGGTATAGTCATGGGCATTTTTCCAACTTTTAGATATCCTTCAGCCTTCTAATAAATCCACTTCTAAATCAAATACCATTTAAAAAGCTTTTAATCTTAACAAGAAATAGCTCATGGTTTATATTTGGTTAAGTAAATTATGAATAATATTCACATCAGATATTAATAAAATCAGTTCTTCACTACTCCTGCTCTTTCCTGAAAATAGCCATTAAAAAGAGCAAGTAACTATTGGCAAGAATGTGTTATAGCAGCTTTAATTAGAAAAAAATTCCACTCCTTGTTCTGTTTAGTGTTATTTAAAGAATAATATTTTCCTCAAAAGACATTATATGAAAGGCATTTCTTTTAGTGGAATAGTTCCTAGAGGAAATCTGTTACATGACTGGACCACTAAGACCCTAGAGCTGATAGAAGTTAGGAGGCATATAAACAAGGAATACTTTTAAGGAGAAAATTAAACTGAATGTGTGAAAAAAACAAAGAACCAAAGAAAATTCTCGTGCAATCAAATACATTTATTTTTAGCGTAAGCAAGACAGGTGGTGAACAAAATCATAATAAAAATGCCACCCAGAGATTAGCAGTGGGCCATGCATGCAACCTGAGTGCGTAAAACCAAATTATTTCTGATGCCAGTGTGCAGGCTTTACCCTGTTGTACCAGGCCAAACCGAACAACTGTTGGTGGCCTATTTACAACACATTCACCATCTCAGCTCAAAGCCACATACTAGCTAGGTGACTGTCACCTACACACCTGCCAAGTAAGTAGACAGCACTGCAAGTAGCACTTTACTTGGTCGGTGGCCAATAGCACAAGTGTGGCCAGACACAGATAGACACACAAGTCACCTCCCTGACTTAGCTGATAACCACCCTTCCGTTTCTAGGGGGCAGGAGTACCATGAGATATAGCACAGACTGATACTCACTCTAGGACGGCGGGAGGTGGGCAGGAGTCTCCCCAGGTTTGCACATGGGTGGCCAGAGGTTCTCAGAAGAGCTGTTTGAGCACAACCAACAGAAACACTGCTCACAGTGATGTGTGAGACGAGACTCCTGACATCCTGGTAGATACTCAGGCCCCTGGTGAATGCTGAGTCAGTGAAAGGTTGAGTAGAAAGTATAGATATTTAGGGGTCCTACAGTAAGAAATAGGAGCCAGTGTCCTAGTTTATACAGCTTTGTGTCTACTCCAACCTTGTCTGGATGCAATGTTATTAATTCACAAAATATTAGAGCCAGGATGGATCATCTGCTCCAGGCTCCTCGTCTTACAGGAAACAATGTGGGAGCCCACAGAAGTCAAGTGAATTGACTTCTGATGGTAAAGCATGGTGGAGGCAGGGCCAGGATGGGACACAGAACGATAACCCCCATTCAGGAACGATGACACTGAGTATGTGGCCAAATTTCTCACCAAGGAAGATGAGACGTTATAAACACTTTATTTCTCCAAAAGCCTCGAATGTGTTTAAAGGCATAAACACTCAGTTTAATCAGCTCTTTGCAGAGGGAGCTTTCTTCTCTCTTTGTCTTCCTGTCTCTCTCTGTTTCTCTGTCTCACTCACATGCACACACACATGCACACAATTTTGGTAAATGAAGGTTTCTTGCTACGCAAACATACCCCAACATCTTCAGGAAGACACTATGGAGCATATATTTCAGTCCGGGTCCTTGTGTGAGGTCTGGGAAACTGGCTTATTTTCTAGAACAATAGGCGGTTCTGAAATCAAAAGATCATCATCCCCAAAGGAGGAGTTCTGGTCCGTGTTCACAAAATTGGGGATGTCAAATTTCATGAGCCTGTTCAGCTCCTCCTCGGGTGGCCCGCTGCTTCTGATGCCTTCCTGGAACCGAACGTCACTGTCGAGGGCTGTGGTCTGGGGACCAGCTTTGGCCTTTTCCAAGTGTTCCACTTCATTGATGTAGCAGTGAAAGAGAGACCTGGATTCCTCGTTGCCCTGTCGAGAAAACACTTTATCTGGTTCCAGAGGTCTTCCAAAGTCTGACACAAAGCTGTTCATTCTGAATCTCTTCTCCAAAGACTCTGTGTTGCTGTAAAGAAAAGGGAAATAAAGATTGCTTACAAGCCAGCTCATCCCACTACAGAACCACGGCTTCTGACATGTACGGCATGCCGGCGTATTTCCCCTGAGCACATACTGAGTGCAAGTCCCTGTACAGAGCGTGCAAACACCAGAACTGAGAGACATCACTTCTGAACACGCACAGATAAACGCAAGGCAAATGCCCCAAGATGAGGGCCCATGGACCTTCCTGGAAAGACACACCTTGCTGAGGAATCTGATTCTCAGTGGGGCTCTTGGATCATCTGAATCAGAATTACTTCAACTACTTCTTAAAATGCAGAATCCTGAATGGCAGACCCTCAGAATCTCTGGAGGTAGGGCCCAACAATCTGTATCTTCATAGAATTTTCCAGGATCGCTATTTACGCTCAAAATGTAGACACACTGACCTACATCAGGCCAGCCCAAGCAATGACAATATCTCCCAGAGGTGCATTTCACATTTGTCAAAGCACTGTTGTATCCCTTTATCTCAGTCAGTTCTCAAAACTGACCAGTGCAGCCACTCAGGGCAAGAATTACGATACCAACTCCACAAACCCACAAGCTAAGGCAAGGAACAGTCAGCCTGCCCACCTGAGTCACACAACCAGTTAGTGACAGAAGAGGGAATAGAACCTACATTCCTAATCCCTTGTCACATTTAAGGTGGAACAAATTAGCAATTTAATGATAATAAATCAATAATAAAATAACTCCCCACTAGTCCTACAAGTACACGAAAGAAAGAGCATGGGTAAGATGAGTTCCCTGGTATCCCATGGACTTTAATGCCTTCTTTCCAGACTTATAGAAAAGTTGCTCACACACAAGTGGTGACTCCTTAAGGGCAAGAATCATTTCTGAACAGGTTTTCAAATCCAGACAGAACCTAACCAAAAGTAGGCTGTGTTCAAGGAGGGTGTGACTACCTCAATTTTGATTCTTAACTCTCTTCCTTCCAGCCCCATCACGTGGGATAAAGTGCTGATGACCAAACTCCCACAGATGGGAGGAGCATAGATTCAATACAGGTCTAGAAAATCTGATCCTGTATATACATATACACACAAACCTCTGGATTTCAGAGGTCAGTAACCCTAGAAGCTCTATCACACAGCCCACCGAGAGACTTCTAAATCAGACCTGTCTCCTACTGTGATTATCTGGGTGACATTAGTCACAGAATTCCTCACAGAAGCTCAAGTTTTTCCATTTAGTAGAAAGCCCGGTTCGCAAATCTTCTTGCCCACTGAGCAAACGTGATGTGAAGATCACTGATTTGCAAATCATCAAACATTGAGTAGGTCATGTGTGCAGAATTTAAAGAAAAAACCACTTTAGGGATAGTCTGAATGACTTCTGCTCTAATGAGAATTTAAGTGGTCTCATCTATCAGCAGGTGATTTTCTTCCCCTGCTGCCCACTTCACTAGGGTTTAGAAGATGCTGGAGAACAAAGACCAGTACGCAGCAACCTGTGACCTAACAAGCTAAAATAATTCCTGACTAAAACGTTAGGGTACAAACCTGCCATCTTCTCAGATTGCCGGCCATCAGAATAAAGCGCCCATAAAGATACTAAACAAACAAATAAATATATAAAATAATACCTGGCAAAAAAAGAAGGGCTTCACATGTTTGAAAAGGCCTGATTAAGATTGCCGGGGCCCGCACCATTCTCAGCTGCAGGTCTAAGGACTAGTAGTAGCTTTGCCGCCTGCCTGGAGCATCAGCTGAGGGGAAAGCAGACCCAGAAACCCAGCTGTGTGCAGCAGCTCCTCCAGAGCACAGGGATCATTGTTCACAGCCAGGGGGTCCATTAAGCACCCTGGTTGAAGAACAAAGGCCCAGGAGTCCGAGAGTACTGCCCCTCCTCAGGGCAGAGCTGAGGCCTCTGAGATGCCTTCCTTGTTCCCCAGCCCGCCCCTGAACTTTTTCCTGATGGTTTCTTGGGGTGGGAACAATGCAATTTGTCTGATTCTCCTTGTCTGAGAACAAGGGAAAAGTTCATTTTTGTACTCGCAGACTCTGGTAAACATTAAATATTCAACAGGTTGTGCTTTCATTCCTCTTTTCTTTCCTTGACTGATCAATTAAAGGGTTTCCATGTGAAAGCTATGATCATGGACACAGCTTGCTTCAATGTGTCAATAGTTTCTATTCATCCTGCCACTGTGTGAAATTTACATACAGAAATCCATAGATCTTAAGTGTCAAAGTCAATGTGTTTTTATTAATTTATATGTCCATGTAACCACCATCCTCAATTAAGATATAGAATATTTCCTTTATCCCATTAAGTTCCTTTCATTCATTTTCCACCCCCTTTAGGTAACACTGCTCTAAACTCCATTTCCATTGAATAGCTTTGCCTATTCTATTTCAATGTGTGTACACATTGAATCAGACTTGTAACATGGTCAGATTTTCCACCTGTTGATAGGGGTAGACCCCTCGGAGTGGCAGGGCTTCCTTGGGAACCACTCACTGCATCTGCACTTGCCAGCTGGTTCCTGTGGCTTTGGCCATTATCAAAGACCTTGAGTGCTGACACTCTCCTGCTAGTAGGTTTTAGCTGCATTGCGTATACTCTATAGTCAATGCCACATTCAGGTGAACTGCAACACAAGGTAGAATGTGATTTCCACTTTCATAAGGTCGTGTGCTGCCCTGAACTCCTCTCCACCTGGACAAAGGACACTTAGCAAAGGCTACCAGCAGAGGGTATTTAAGGCACATGATGTCTTGGGTTTGATAATTTTTTAAAGAAGTCCAAAATGCTCAACATAAAAATGTGATTCAAGCCTTCCCTGCTACTCTTGCTCTCCAGCAGATTTATGATAATGGAGCCATAATGCTTTAACAAGACAGCACAGGGAGTAAATGGCTCCTTCACTGAGAAAGCAGGGGAAAATGAATCTTCTCTCTTCATTGCCCATGAGGTATCCAGGTAAGAGGGTTTTACTCCCCCACACACAACAACACATATTCCATGGGGAAAATAATCCCCATTAATGCTGCTTCTTGGGTCTAAAAGCTTTTAAGAAAGGTGATGTCAGCTTTATAACAGCCTTCCCCCTTTACAGTGCCCTTTACTAGTATGTACCAGTACCTGGTCCTCCTCGCCCTCCCAGGCCGGGCAGCCAGGTGGTTGTGGCAAGCTCTGACCCATGAGCCGTGAGAGGAGGGGATGTGCTCCTCCTGAATGAGGGACAGAAGAGCAGAGGTGAGGTCTCCAGGCTTCCTCCTCTCTGTCCCAGCAGTCCCAGAGGCTGAGTGTTGGGGCTACTGCAGCTGCACGTGCAGAAGCTCCGGTCCACCTTTCCCCAGCCCTTGGCAGACACGTAGCTTGAGTACGAAGTAAGCTCATGTCGTGCTGGCCTGAGATATGGAGAGTTGTTTCTTACTGTCTTATAACCTAGTCTTAACTATTGCATGCTCTCTCCCTCAACAGAAGCCACTGGGAAGTCAGTGATTCCCATTGAAGTTCTTATCCTAATATGGTCCCAAGTCTTAAACCTGAGGGAAAAACACTTGCCAGTTTTATTATGATGTCATTAGTTCTGTGCAGTTGAATAGATTTAAATTCTTTGCCATCCAAAGAGATGGCAAATATGTGATCTCTCTCAGGTAAACTGTGACTGATTCCTGGCGGCTGCCTAGAGTGGTGTTTTGAACATGACTCTGAAGCAGAGTTGTGGCTGTGCACAGAAGACAATACAATCGATGAGTGTTGTCTGTGTGTGGTTATGGATACAGAGAGTGGGGGCAGGGGTGGTGGTCTCTGCCATTCTGGTGTCTCACCACTGCAAAAGGGATACACAGACCCTTCCTGTGTGTCAGCAACGGTGAGACCCTGGTGAGCCATTCAAGCCCCTAGATGCCTCCATGGGGGATAAGATGGAATTCAATAGCAGATTCACCACTAATCCATTTTGAGCTTGCAGACTTGGTCAGGTATCTTAACCAGAACATTGGAGTCATATCCATGATATCCTACCCAAGGAAGTTCTTATGACAAACTACCCAGACAGCTTCTACATAAAGCAATCAGAATTCAGACATGTCAGTCCTTTCAGTCCATCACTGAGTGAGATTCTCTATGTAGATTCTCTGTATTCATCTTACTGTTTCACTGGGAGACACACCCACGCTTAAGCTTGGGTAGATGAGGCAACATTTTGACAAGCGGAGATGCTACGTGAGTGCTTGGGCCCTGGCTGTCCAATGGGAGGATGGGTTCCTTCTTCTCCCTCCTACTCCTTACCCAGACTTCCACCAGCACCGAGGGGTGGACTCACCTTCACAGGGTACCACTGTGATCCCAGCATATGCCCAAGGCTCCCTAGGCATTAGCTCACTTAATTTTTACCATAATCCTAAGAGGCAGGGACAACTATATTTTTACAAATGAGGAAACTCAAGCATAGAGAGGTTAAAAATCCAGCCAAAATCTCAGTAAGTAGATCTGGAAATCTTTGACTCCACAGGTCATGCTAGGTCCAATATGTAGTAAAACAAACCTGATTGTTTACTAATATCTTTGGTTCCACAGAAGAAGATTAAAAATCACTGTTACAAGATCATTTACTGAAGTGGTTACTAGCAGGAGCTTCAGAGTGAAAGAGGCTGTGGCCTGGTTTCACAGGATTTGTTTTTTCACCTGTGAGGCCTCAGACAAGTGATTCAGCCTCGTTTTCCTTGTCTGTAAAGAGGGAACACTTACAGCGCTTATCTCAACTTCCTATGAAGATTTCGTGAGAATATACCCATCAAATGATTAGTAGACCCTAGTATATGGTAAACATTTTTTAAAAGGCCTCAGTATTTTCAATGGTTTATCATTCTTTCCTCTATGCCTAAGTATCACAGGCAAACTTAAAATGGGTTATTTTATATTAAAGCTGGCTGGATGGAAAGAATAATGTCTGTTTTAGAGAAAATTTCTGCTAAATAAAGGTCAAATTTATTCAGATCAAAAAGCCCTTTTAACATTTCTACTTAGAGATTTTTCTGCATGTCTGCTTCCTTCTGTTTTCTGTTGATAAACTGCAACAAAATGCCTTATCTTACATTGCCCTGGATTCCAAAAGCATTTAAGGTGTATCTCAGAGGGCTGACCCACTACTGTATTAAAAGTAAAAAAGAGGTAAGACTTTCTTCTTAACCTCACTGAAAGATGTCGAGTCACAATCACCCCTGATCTTTGATTGAGATTATTCAGAACTGCCATCAAATGAGAAACCATTTGCAGTAGAACTGAACTGCCTATTGGAAGACTGGAAATGCAAATCTCAGCTTTTCAAGGTCATCATGACACGTCAGGTGTCTCCAGAGAAACAGAACAGAGAACCAAAAGGATGTGTGTGAGAGAGAGATGTTTTCTTCCTTTCTTCCTTTCTCTCTTCCTTCCTTTCTTTCTTTTCTCCCCCCCCGCCGCCTTTCTTTCTCTCTCCATCTGTCTATGGAGAGATATATAGATTTATTTTAAGTAATTGGCCCATGGGACTGAGGAGACAGGCAAGTCCAAAAACTGCCAGTAGGCCAGCAGGCTGCAGACCCAGGGCAGAGTTGCAGTGCAAGTCTGCGGCAGTCTTCTGCCAGAATTCCTTTTAGCTTACGGCAGGTTAGTCTGTTTCCAGGAAGGCCTTCAACTGATTGGATGAGGATCACCCATATTATAGAGGATGATTTGCTTTACTCAGAGAATACTGACATAAACATTAGTCTCATCTAAATACATACACATGTACACACACCTTCACAGAAACATCTGGGATAATGTTTGACCCAATATCTGGGTGCCATGGCCTGGCCAACTTGACCCATAAGATTAACCGTCACAGGAAGTCATGTTCTGTTTTGGGCTAGGGTTCCCACCTATACAATCACCTGCATCCTACATCAAACAAATCCATCTTAATGACTATATTGCAAAACTGCATCCATCCCTCTGAGGAAAAGGAAGATAATGCAGTGCTATTCTTGCCTGACCACTCAATGAGATGTGCCCTAATCTGAGTTTTGTACTCAGCCTTTCTTACCACTGTTGCAATCCACACCGTAGTTTCAAATCCCATGGACCAACATAACAGAGGTAAAGGCCTGTGCAAATGTCTATGAGGACTTGGAGAGAGAAAGGGGAAAGTTCACACCTTTTCAGTGGCTGTTACAGAGATTCTCAACATTATGTCTCCAGATGTTGCAATAAAATGGTATTTTCCTTTTGTGTAAAAGGAATTTAATTTTTTTCCAGACCCTGATGTCTGGAAATAGCTGAGTTATGGACAGAACTGTTCCTGTACCCAGACATTTGTTATAGTTCAAGTGCAGGCTACAGACCAAACGACAGGCAGGCACTGGAGACTATGTAGTGAAATGCAATAAAAAGAACACTGCTGTCAGGCTGTGCACATTCAGTGAGATGCTGAATGTAAAGGATTAGGAATAGTGCCACGTTTCTTCCATTACTTCCCAGGTCCCTTCCACCCTCCCCCATCCTGCTCTCGGCTTGGAGCTTGGCGGCTGCTTGTGTTGCTGTGTTCAGCTGGTGGGAGCAATGGTGAGAGATGAGAGGGAGGGAGGGAGGGAAGAAAGTAAGGTGCGGGTATGATCAGAGGCTCCCTCTCTGAGAGATCACATTGGGTGTCTGTGGCCCTCTCTCCAAAGTCACAGCTCCTCTCTGCCGCCACCGCCTTCTCAGCAGGGCTCCCAGTCAGGCCTCCCTCAGACTAGGGTGGTAGCTGCTCCTCAGGATCGCTAGCCCTGGCTGCTGCCCTGTCCTGTGGGGCTTTTGTCTCCCTCCCTGGTCACAACATATCAACAGCTCCTTCACCAAACGCTCTTCTAACTCCCTGATGCGAGCGTCTGCCTGCGCCTGCTGGGGCCCACTACGAAGGTTCCAAGGCATGACCTTCCCCACTTTTTAAAAGGAGTTAGAATAAAAAAAATCTCTAAAACATTTCTGAGATTTTTGGAGCTATAATTGAATAATTACCTTCTGATGTTACTCAGTGTTCTTTAAGTATTCCTGTAATAATTTCCTCCTCAAATCCAAAGCCCAAGAAAAATATTCTTTATTCTACTATGAGAATCACATAATCTTTGATGTTTCCTTTTTTATCCTAGTTTCAAGGAAACTCAGCATTGAACTCATTACTTATTGTCAATGATTAATTCAATCGAATACTCAGTAACAACTCTTTCTCTACTCCTTGAAATGTTTTTTCAAACTAGTTTTCACCCTGCTTTGCTGTTGTTTTATTCACTGTTTTTAGTATGGTGAGTCATCTAAATTCTTTTGGGACTAAGGAGAAACTGCATTCTATTTAATCAGTCTTTCATCACAAAAACCAGGCCTGAATCAGCATTAGGGCTGTATGAAAAGACCAAAGACCCAGGTTCACACGGATCCACTTGCAAACACACCCCAGAGGCAAGAGGCCAGGGGGAAGGCAGATGCCGCCCATGGGCACCTGGGGCTGGCAGCTGTGGTAACTTTCCCTGTTTCTTCCTTCCCTGTGGGACTTAACAGATATTTAGGAACAGCCCAGACTTACTCTTGGTGTGGGGCTCCTGTCTTCGTCAGCAAAGTCAGCACAAAAAACATGAAAATCACGAAGACTGCAAGACCAACCCAAAATCCAATCACAATGGAATCTGCAAGACAGTTAACATGGGATCAGTATATTCCAGCAGCTGAGAACTTGAACCTTGAAGAAGTCTGGGCTTTGGGGATACATGAAATGAGATAGAACATCAACAATCTTAGGAGACAGTCTTGACCCCTCCATCAGCTGGGGACAGACAAGATGTAAGGAATGAGCGACAGAGACAAATCTGTGTTGCCTCCAGGTTCTGGTCTCAGGTAACACTGAGGGACATCAGCCTCACTGACCACTGGTTTCCATACCCCAATAAAGGAACCCAGGACACAGCAAAGGCCATCTGGGTCCCCAAGAGTCCACCGAAATGTCTTGAGTGATAGAATGCAGTTTTTAGCAGAAACTACAATATGAAGTTTAAAGTGAATTTTGATTCAAACCAACCCAATTTTGTGTTTTCACTTCGCTTCATGCTGAAATAGTTCGGGTCCTCATCACCTCTCCGTGAGCACCCATGAATGACGTCCTGCGCCATCTTCCACTTTCCATGAGCTTCATCTCGGTACAAACCTGCTCCACCATGCCTCTGACAACACTGCTCGTCTGTGAGAAACTCTTCAACAAAGCTCGACCCGACCTCTTCCAGGTTGAAAGAGATGCCACAGGTAAAGCACTTTACACAATGTCTGGCATCTGAGAAGAAGGTACCCCACATTTGCCAGCCATCATTGTTAAAATTATTTTCTCCCAGCCTACTCCTACTTTAAAAGCCATGTTTCCGATCAGACTAGGGGACATTGTGTCCCTGTATTTACCTTAATTTCCAGCGACAATTTCCTAACCCCCAGGCCTTTTTAGGGGCTCTTACCTTTACCTGACTAGAATAACATCCCCCCACCGAGAGCTGATGACAGCCCACCCGCCCTTCAAGCCCGGTCGGTACACCGTCTCTTCCCCAGCCTGAACCAACCCCGCCAGCAGATGTGCTCTCTCCCTCCGTTGAGCCCCACGGCCTTGTGCCTGTGCTTCTCTCCACGGGCCCTCCTGTGGGGAAGTCACAGGGTGTGTCTCTGGAACAGGATGACACTGGACTGTCCACAGAACCTGCACCTACATGATAGGGTCTCAGGTCTGGGGCAGACAACGCAGCTGAATTATTTTACGTTTTCTGACTTATTCTGAGAAGTTAACCAATGTGAGAATACAGTGAAAATGCATAGCAATTTTTTAAAAAATAAATGGCTTATACACTAGGTGTGTTTAAACGCAAAGCATTATTATTATTAAATTCTAATTCATTTTTTCTAAAGTAAAGATATCAGATTAGCGGTTAACTCTGTATAATTCATACTTTCATTCTACATATACCATTGCCCAAAGGTTAACAACTTTCATTCAACAATGTGAATAGTCAGCACTCTGGATGCAAAACTAATGTATCTTTCCTGGGGTTAAATATGCCAAAGAAATAGAAACTGTAGGTTTTGCCTTACAATACAATGGAAATTAAACCTAAAAAGGAAATAAGGACAAGTTCCAAAAAACACATGTAAACAAGTGCAACTGACATGTAACAGTAATATCTCAACTACGAGTGCACAGGCTATGAAACACCGTTGTACAAACAAAAGACAGCATGCTGTGCTTCATCAACTGCCTGCAGGCAGAACAAAAGCAAATTCTAAAAATGACACAGCAGCATTACATTTAAGCCCTCAATTGCAAATGGGATCTAATTGACTGATTTTTCAAATCTGTCCACTGGGAAGGGGTTCTCACGAGGACAGCTTTCAAACTGCAGAGGGTACCTGTGCCTCCGTCAGCTCCCCGATTCCCAAACCCAGGGTGGGCAGAGGTGGAAGTGGGGTGCCTCTCATCCAGCCCAGGCCCTTCCCTCCATTCTGCCAGTGCCCCAGGGAGCTGATCAAAAAGCAATAATGATGAGGGGCAGGAGAGAGTCACAGCCCTTGGAGGATCATGGGGGAGCAGAGTGCAGAGGTTCTGTGGTTAAAATTTGAGAATCTCTGTGATCCAAATGTTTCCTTGACCATGTGGCATCTATGTTTCTCATCATAATATGTTTCATTTATCCTTGCTTACTTATGTAGTTTTGTCACATTTCCCTTCAAACAAAATTCTGCTTCCTCCAATTATTTCCTTTAATTCTCCTCTACCCCACCCTCTGCTTCAGGGGCTGATCCCAGGGTACTTCTCACCCCAACCCCTCTCTGGGAGGGTGGGAGGTCCCCATCTTACCCCAGGAACATACAAACTCTCTTGAAATTTTATTTCTATGACACATTTCAAGGGCATGGGCACTGTGGTAAAATGGGAACGCACAGCCCCTGGTCTTCCTCAAAACACCCTTTCCTGGGAGGAAGTCAGCAGTGAGGTTTGAATGAGTCCCGTGGTTAAGGAAGCCAAGAGAAGCCTTGCTTGTCCAGAAACTGGGTTACCGAGAAAGCAATACAGTAAGGGGGTAGAGAAAATTGCCACAGGAATTCCAAGTGGGATGTGTCGTAATAAAATAATTTCCCCTTAACCTGACCTGCAGTGAATGAAAGGAAACAAGAGCGCTGAAAGCTGACAGGTGCATGCTTTTCAGCAGGATGGCGCTGTTGTGCACGTAGCATTTTTTTCTACTCTGTGTAGCAACCACCCCATCACCCAGGCTCTCCATCTCATAGGAATAAATTGTGACCTTTGCACCCTGTGGTTGTATGAAAAACAAAGGTTAGTGTTTAATTTGAAATAGAGGACCCAGGACACCAGAGCTAGCACTGTCCCTGCAACACTTCTGGCTCCTAAGGCACTAGGGTCAGTTCTGTGGCAGGAATTCTGGGCAAGGTGCCAACAGCAATGTTCAGGTACTTGTTTTTGCTGCACTCCCAATGCCACCTCTTACTCCAGGTCTTCAGAGCTCTGGCTCTGCTTCTCAGCTCAGTGACCCGTCTTCCGGCTGATGTATCCATGCACGCATTGTATCAGGTGTTATCTGCAAGTTGACATAGGATAAAATCATGGAATGTGCCCACCAGCGATGGCTCAGAAAAACAGATGCTCCTTCAGCCTTTCCTCAACACAGCAGCCAGAATGGTCCTGCTAAGATGTAGCCATGTCCACTCATCGACTTACAGGCTTTTGCTTCTGCTTCTCTAAGAATATCTGGTCTCATCCAGCCAAGTCCTTCACAAATGTCCTGTTTCTCTTCTTCCCTTCATACCAAAATTCTTGAGAGATTTTTCTTCTTCTCTTATTTTTTTCTTGAACCCATTCCACCGGCCTTTCACTCTTACTACTCCACTAAAACTGCTTTTAAAATCATTGCCAATAACATCTACATTTTAAGTCCAACAGTTAATGCTTGTCTGTCAACTAACTTGACCTAATACCATTTGACCTGGACCAGGGTCTCGCCCTTGGGACCCTTCTTCACGTGGCTTCCAGGAAACCACAGTTGCCCAGTTTCCTTCCAGTCTTCCCGTGAAGTCGACTCAGGCTCTTTCGCTGCTGCCTCCTCAACGCTCCCAGTTTTTAAATGCTAGTGTGCCCCAGGGCTCAATTCTGGACCTCTGTCGTTTTCTACCTACACTCATTTGTCCATCTCTTGGGTGTGAATATCATGTATACGCTGATGACTCTCAGATTTCACTGAGCTCCTCCTCCATCACGTCTTCTCACATGTCTGACAGGTCTCAATGTAACAGATCCCCAACTGAGCTCACAATCTGCCTGCTTCTCCTACAGTGGTCCCCATCTCAGCTAACAGGAGCCATCCTGCCAATTCCTCAGATCACAAACCCCCAGTTATCCTGGGATCTTCTCCTTCTCTCTCACCCCACTGCCAGCTGTTGACAAATCCTGTTTGATCTGTCTTCAAAAAATATCGAGAATTACAAACTTCTCACTGCCCCACTGCCCGCCCACCATGGGCTAATCCTTGCTGCTTCCAGTCCCATCCCCCCCTTTCTTGCTGCAGAGTAGATTTACTGAGACCTAAGCCAGAGGCCACTCCTCCTCTCCAAACCCTCAAATGACTCCCCCACCCCTACCAAAAAAAACAGCCAAAGTCCTCAGCATGACCTCTATGGCCCTGGCACCCTCTTCTCATTATCTGACTTCATCTCCTGATGCTCTCTGCCTCTTACCGACTCCCCTGGGCCCAGGCTGGCCTCCTTGTTGTTACTTGCAGGTTGCATTTCACAATTGTGTAGAGCAGTTTCTAGAATGTTCTTCCCCAGATATCTTACAGCTCAATTTCTTACTTCTTTAAGGTCTTCTGTCAAGTTTTCCTTCTCAGTGAGGCCTTCCATGACCATGATATACTTTTGGCTCCACATTCCACATCCTGTCCCTACTTTATTTTTCCTTTTTTTGTTTTATCACCATCTGGCATAGTTTGATTATTTAACTTATTTATTTTCTGACTGCCCCATTACAAGGCAAGGTCTGTAAGAGGAGGTATTTTTGTCTTATCTGTTCACTCTTATATGTACAATGCTTAAAATAGTACTGCACAAAACAGGCACTTAGTACATATGTGCTGAATGAATGAATGTCCACTCCATTAGTGCTGCATGTATGTCAGACATATGTCCACTTCTGATAAGTTGTATGGTTTAATACCAGATTAAAAACTAAGGACAAAAGAAAATTCAAATGACCATCAAAGCCTGTTTCTCAGATGAAAGACCCTTTGAAGGTAGAAATCTCAATTTTAGTAGGCAGAAGAACTTAATCCAATTAAGAATGTAGCTACTATTGCCAAGAATGAGGTGTTGCAGATAAAGCAAATGAATGAAGGTAATGGCTATGAACCTTGTTACCCTGACCTTGAAATGTCTTCCTTCTCTTCTTTTGAACCTGAACCTAACTGGCTTGGAATTCTGCTCAGCCAAACAAGGAGACATACTTGAAGGTCAGAATCATATCATTTTAAAAGCAGAACAAACTACACCAATGTACACAGTAAAATAGTTGACTTTTTTATTTTCCTGTATGTATGGAGGATTTTTAAAATTGTTTTATTCTTTCCTACGTCTCTTGTTTATTGTCAGGTTCCTGAAGCTAAGGGCATCCTTAGCTGGGCATCCACATCAACCACATCTCTCACTGAATCAGAACAGGAAGGACTCAGCCAGGCAGTCTTGGTTTCTCCTGATGGGAGTGTTAAATCTCCAGAAGCCCTCCTTAGCAATCATATAGTATATAAGGATGGAGCGTGTTGCATGTCTGCCTGTGTTTTGCAGGGATTTTTTCCAGCTATAAGCAATTCCAGAATGTAATATGTTTCCAAAACATTTTCAGTTGTCTCTGGAAATGTACCAACCAAAATTACAGCTGTTGGTCTGTCTTTTTTGCCCCTTAAATTAAGAGAAAGAGGCCAGAGCAAACTGACACAAAAATAAAATGTATGCCACCAAGGTATAAAAGCCCATATCACACACAAAAAAATATATGGCTATTTGTCCAGTCATTTTGATATCCACTAAAATTCTTAATAAGCAAGTGCCCTTACTTAAAGACTGTCCCAGAAAAGCAGCAGATTAAAGAACTGAAGGGACTGAAGGAGGGGAGTCTCACACACGGCCGCAAACAGCCCTCCATCGGGTGGTCATCGGAAGCATATCTGAACGGGTTCCAGGGGCTTCCTCTTCTTTTTTTTTAAATTTCCATAGAGAAGTACTGAGCAGACATCAAGAAAGGAATGAGTGAAAACATTTCATTATCACTATTCACTTCAGGGGAAAAGGATATGTAGTTTACTTAATGATTTCTTAAGGAACAAAAATAGAAAGCCCTCTGTCCAGGAAGTGAGTAATTCTGAAGCCCTTTGCAGACCCACTGTTGGAGACCAGAGGGTGGGAACCGGCGGGAGTGTTACGTCCGCCCCTCAAATGCCTGGCTGAAGGCTTGGCCGCAGCCACCAGCAAACAGTGGCATCTAAGCCGTACATGAACCCTGGGTTGTGTGCAGGGGAATGGAAACAAAGTTTAAGCCACTTAATTAGCTGAAATAGGGAGTTGACCAAGATGGAAACTTAGGAGGCTCTGGAACTCCCCTTCTAAATACATGGGTGCACCAAATACATGGCTACATATGGAGCAGTTCCCTCTGAAAGAGATCCAGAAACAGCTGATCAACTCCTGCACACCTGGCAAATAAGAACACATCTAAATGGGTAGGAAAATGCTGAGATACACATTTGCCATAAGCCCCACCACCAGCACAACATACAATGGGGCAGAACCCCAATTCCCACTTTCTCCCTGGGGAGGGAAGGGTTTCGATTGTACATATGGAGCCTCAACTTTTAAGACTCTCACTGGAGAGATGGGCCCCCAAAACATCTAGTTCTGGTTTGCATCCATGAGAACCCCAAGACTACAGCAAACAAAAAAGCAGTTCTCCACGGACCCACAGACCCTACCATGGCTGTCCTGCAGGGGCTCAGTGCAGAGGGAGCTGGCAAAAATACCCACCTCCCTCTCTTTCTTTGAAAGGAGTTTACCTGCTTACTCTAAAAGATGCTGCCTGAGGGTCAGGCTTCTAATTTAACAGGCAGTTAGGGGCCAGCTATGGTCCTTCCCAGAGACCAGAGAAGCCTTTGAACACCTCCCCATCCCTCTCCCTCCACCTGACTCCAATAATAAAACCATGTGGCCATATCTCCCTGTGCACAGGTCTGGTGTTCCAGCTTTTGCAGCAGCTACCCAAGGGATCTCCTGGCTCTGACAGGCAATGGAGCTTGCATTCCTGAGTCCCACAAAGAAAACAAAGAAGCAGTTCTTCACAAGTACAGTTCCCCTCATGTCTATACATAAGGCCCAGCATAGAGGGAGCCCACAAAAAGGTCCATCTCCCAGTTTCTTCCTGGAAAGATTTAAGCATGTACTTTCCTAGCCACTGCCTGAGGGTCTGGCTTCTGATCAAACTGCATCTACATGCTGACCATGTTCCCCCTCATGTCTCAACGTGGGGACGTTGAGACATAGACAGGTCTCGGCACACCCCCAGCTACTGAGAGCCACTGAAAACAAAGATGGCTGCTTGGATGATCATCCAAGTCTGAGAGACAGACAGCGCTGGCGGAATAACAGGGTTCATCTCCCACGTAAGACCTCACCATCAAGACTGGCAGAGGTGGCTTTTGCATCTAATGCCTAGAAACCTCACTGAGAGTCAAGGAAAATGAAGAAATAGAGGAATATGCTTCAAACAAAAGAACAAGATAAATCTCCAGAAACAGATCCAAATGATAGAGAGGTAAGTTATTTACCTGATAGAGTTTAAAGTAGTGGTCATAGACATAGGAGACCAGCTCCTTGACATAGATCTTGGAAATGATTCTTTGAATTTGACACCAAAAGCAAAAGCAACAAAAGCAAAAATAAACAAATGGTACTATATCAAATTAAAAAGCTTCTGCACAGCAAAAAAATAAAAAGGCAACATACAGAATGGTGAATATTAGCAAACCACATACCTGATAAGGGGTTAATACAACTCAATAGCAAAAAATATAAAACCCAATTTAAAAATGGGCAAAGGACCTAAAGAGATATTTTTCCAAAGAAGACATCCAAATAGCCAATAGGTACATGAAAAGGAACTCAGTGTCACAAATTGTTAGGGAAATGCCAATCAAAACCACAATGAGCTATCACCTCACACCTGTTAAGATGTCTATTATCAAAAACACAAGAGATAAATGCTGGCAAGTATGGGGAGAAAAAGGAACACTTGTACACTGTTGGCGGGAATGCAAACTGGTTCAGCCACTATGGAAAACAGTATGGATGTTCCTCAAGAAATTATATAACTACCATAGATCCAGCAATCTCACTTATGGATATATAGCCAAAGGAAATAATCTAAATCTAAACAAAATATTAAACTCATAGTGACAGAGAGTAGAAAAGTGGTTGCCAGGAGCTGAGTAAGGAGTGGGGGGGATAGGAAGATGCTGGTAAAACAGTACGAACATTCAGTTATAAAACGAATTAGTTAATTACACTGTACTGTATAACTGAAATTTATAAGAGAGTAGAACTTAAATGTTCTCATAAATAAATAAATATCTGAGGTTATTAATATGCTAATAAATTCAATGAGGAAAATCCTTTTATAATGTACACAAATACCCAAATCCTCACTGTACATTTTAAGTATATTACATATATATTTGTCAATTATACCTTAAAAAGCTGAAAAAAGAAAGAAAGTCCTCCTTGCAAAGGAGCAGCAAATGGGCAGATGGGATCACAGGTGCCCAGACAGGTCAGCATGGTAGCGGCCAGGAAATACTAAAAGAACAAAAGCACCTCCTTTGCCACATTTGCATCTCCAATTCTAATATGTCATATACTTCCTAAGATGTTTCATTCATCTGAACCAGCCACAAACCTAAAAGGTTGGTAGTGCTATGCATATTCATTCTGAAATAACCAACCATCTCAGAATCTTGATGGTGTAGCCACAGGAGGGCCTGGGAGTGGGCAGCCGTTCCCACTTACTCTGTCAACTCTACTTACGGACACAAAGAAGCTTCCTGACGGTCAGCCAGCATTCAGCTACGACTGGAGGTAGACAGTAACCTTTCACAAGATTATTTTTCCTTACTCTATGCTGGGTTATCAGTCACTCCAACAGCATGTCACATGGTTCACAAAACACAGAATTAGGAAGGGTCGCAGGCTATTCTTGCCCACCATTGTGAACACACACAGATAGACTGCTGCCCCAGCTCCAGAAAACCAAGGGAGCAGAGAGATGCCGTTGATCATGTGTTACAAAACAAAGTTCTTCAATTAAGAGTTCCAGATTCTACTTTTGTCACTTTTTGATAGTCCAAATGTTCACACAGTTTGGGAGAGCTGATATTGTTAATGTTTTAATAAAACATCTCAGTTTAAGAGTGATATTGGTTCACATTCCCACACTAAGCGAATCTTTCAAGTTCCTTGTCACTCAGAACCACCAAGGCCCTCGTGTATTACCATCCCTGGACAATCAGCCTGTGTTTGGGGAGGTGCTATTTGAGGTTTTGGTGAGTAGAGGATAGATTCTATAAAAAGAGAGAATGTTCAGGAAAAGCAATCACTGGGGATTTCACAGGTTAAGACAGATTCATATTATGCTCACAATGGAGACCTGGGTAAGACTTACATTTATGAGCCTTCAGTCCTTCAAAGGAAACGGGTCCAATCTCGTAGTACTCATATTCCCAGGTGTAGTCAGAATTAGATGCAGACTGCTGAGATGTTCTGTTAGAAATTAACCTCTGGGCAGACATCTCCACCCTGCACAAATGGAGAAAGGCAAGTGCAGAACCTGTTAATTCATCTGCAACTGCTCAGGTACTCTGATTGCTCTTGACCACTCTTGGCAGTTGAACAGGAAAAGCCCTGAGGAAGGTCTTATCCACCTGGTCAGGGAGAGGCCCTCATGGGGGGCCCATACCTCACACCAAGTGACCATTCTTTCCTTTTCTCTCACCACGAGAATGGGGTGTATTTGGTGTTGGACACCATGCCTTCTTCTGTTGTTGTTCCCCAGAATTTAATCCCGTGCCTGGCACATAATCAACTTCTGATAACTGATGAAAGAGGGAAGGGATGGGAGGAGAGAGCAGAGCAACGTCTCTGAGAATAAATCTTCAGCCTCACTGCCTGTACCTGCATGAGCAGGTGAAGAGCCTACACAGAATGAACAAAATCAGTATCAGAAGTGAACTCAGTTTTTCTCTATTGAGCCCCTGACATGCAGTAATAAAGACATGCAGCCTATGTCTAACAGAATGGGGTGAAGAAAAATGGACAAGGCAGCAAAGTGGGAGAAGATCCTCAATGGAAGTCTCACTCCTGCCCACTCCTAAAGTTTGTTCTGTTTACAGGATGTCCCAAGTGTCTTCTCTCTGATGATTTCAGATTAGAAAATTCTGACTTGAGAGAACAGGTTGCACTGTGCAGCATGGATACCAAAGGTGACAAGTCAGCAGTGCCAGTATTCAATACTGAGTGCCTACTGTAGACAAGACACTGCACACTGTGGGTGGTAAAGATGAACTGGGACTTTGAGCAAACAAGTCGGGAGGGTCTACGTTCAGCTAGGGCTTGCAGCAGTTCTCACACTCTGTGTAATCGCGAGAACCGTGCACTCGAGAACTCTACACAAAAAATTGTAAGGTTACAATAAAGCTCTGTGGTTCTAATGTCCCCTCCCCTTAACTTCCTCTTCCCCTCTGTAAAGACCCCTCCATCCTGGCACACAGGCCAGAGTGTGCATGCCCTGGGTTGCAACCCTTTTTTTTTCCTGAATAAACCTTTTGTTGATGAAACATCTGATCAACATGGGATAGGAGGAAATGCTTGAGACACCAGGACACCAGAGGCCTTCCCTTATAACAGGGGATAAATAAAACGTGACAAAAAACTGTAATGTGAATGAAATACCAGCCAAAACCAAGATTCACTGAGCAGTCACCACCACTGGGGCCCACTCACCAAAATCTTTCTGAGGTTCCCCTTCTCCCACCCCCACCATAGGTCAGCATCAGCTACCTCTGGAGCACAACCCCCAGAGAAACTGAAGCAAAATCTCCGCCATGCTTCTGCGCCAAGGCCAGAGTCTCCCCTTTCCCTCTTCCCCACCCCCTATAGAAACAGACTCCACCCCCTGGGCACCACATCTTTCTGGAGAGGGAGTGCCTGATCCAGAGGTGCGTGCCAGTGTCAGAGTGCCAGTGTCAGAGTCGGAGCGTGACTCTGAGGGCCCTGCCAGGCGAATTACTCCTCCAGAATAGAAGAGAATGTACCAACTCTCATTTGGGAAAGAAAATTACACAAATTTTAAGAATAGCTGACCTTTAAATAAGTATTCAGCTACCTAATGCCAGCACAAAAATAACATAAAACCATTACCACAGTATATCATCTTTGGCTTTTCTCTTATTTGAACAAGAGGCTATTTCCCTCAACTTCAAAATTAATTTCCTTGGGAAATGAGAATTAACAACACAAACCTAAGAGGTACCATCCTCATTTATGAGAATTTTATGAGAGAGAGAGAGAGAGGATTAACCCTTCAGTTATAGGGTTCAGAGATAAATGGCAGATTAGGATAAACATAATTTCTATTTGAGAATGTTACAAATTTCACACCAAACAGGGAAGAAGTCAGCGGATTTGAAGTTGGAAGACCAGGGCTTCATCGTTGCTCCACCTGCATTTGCTGTGCAACCAGACAAGACTCTCACCTCTCCCAGCCACACTGACCTCATCTGCAAAACCCATCACCCGGCTGCCCAAGCCACTGCTGTCGGGACACAGTTCCGGCTGCGGTCACTAACAGCCACCATCAACACCCACCTGGCCCACTTCTCGAAACTGGTGTTTTTGCTTCTACTGTTCCTAACCCATTGCAATGCTTTCCCCACACATTAGCCAATGACCTTAAAAAAAAATTGTCTTTGTCATTCTTTTGCTTAATACTTTTAATGCTTTCTTACTGATCTAAGGACAAAGTTCAAAATCCTTAAAATGTCCTAAAAGTCACGACTTGGGCCTAATGTCTCCTCTGATCGTGCCACATGCCCTATCAAACTGTCCCTGCATTGACTGCATTTCCTTGGACACGTTGAGAGCTCTGCTACCTGCTGCCTGCGGTTCCCTCTGGTAGGAGTGCCCTTCCTGCCACCCCATCCTAACCCGTTCATCCCTCCTCCCTGCACACGCTCACCATCTACAGCAGGGGTCTGCAAGTCCTGCCCACCACCTGTTTTCATACAGAGTGCAAGTGAAGAATGGTTTCTACATTGTTTAATGGTTGAAAAAAGTCAAAAGAATAGTAATATTTTGTGACATGAGAAAATTATATGAAATTCAAATATCAGTGTCATGAATAAAGTTTTATTGAACACAGCCACCCTTGCTGGGCTTTGCTTTTCGTTTTGGGGTTTTTTTTTTTTATGGCTTCTCTAGTATTACAATAACAGAGCTGAATATTGTGACATAGTATTTCCCAAAGGCTAAAATATTTACTTTCTGGTCTTCTATAGAAAGAGTTTGCCAATCCCTCCTCCAGAACCATGGACAAAAGTGATCTGAGCTTCATCTTTTCCACCAAGAAAATGAAGATGACAACAGTACCTACTTCGTGAACTTGCCATTGAAGACTAAATGTGATATTACATAACATGTGAGTAGCCAGGGCCCAGGTTAAGATCAATAAATAGTAGCCAGGACTATTATTATTAGCTAAGAAATGCTAGCCCGGGATAGAAAAGCCTAGGTTTGTTCTTTCGACGTCACCAACTCCCCTGTCAGCCAGTTCTACCAAATTCACCATTTAAGTAACTGACCTGTGTGTTCTAGACAAATGAATAAAATTATAATAAAAATAACTCAGAAGGCATGTGTTTAGATGGCTTAAAAGTCATAATGAGAAACATGTACATCATGGAATTCATGCTGTTCCATCAAAAATATGACAATAATCTCTCTTCCTTTTTGTTTAAGGGAAATATAATGAAGTCTGCTTTGGTCACATCATTTTACTGGAAATCACTATTACAGACAACGTAATGAGCAGAGCAGAGGGAAGCACCAGGCTTCATCTGGTGTCAAGAGAGTTAATAGAAAAGTAGCAAAGAGTATATAAAACAATAAAAATAAAGCTCGAGAGGTTTTCCGCATTCTGTCTAAGCCCCAGGCTATGCTGTTCTCCACATCTGTGCTGGCCCCCATCTGCGGCCTTCCTGGCACTCCTTTGGGTCAGAAAGAAACATGAACACCACCCTCACAGACACCAGGGACTGCCAAATAAAATATATCTGTGAAAGAGTCCGATACAAGAAATATCAACCACTTACCTACCACAGAAAAAGTCTGTTTTCATGCCTTCTCTTTCTCCCCATTACACCACCTCTGCTCGCCTGCATGAACCACTTAGGGATGGAGAAAGACCAGAGGGTGATGAAAGTCCTGTGTGTGGAGACCCTGAAAGTGGAAAGGCTGTCCTTTGCCCTGACAAATACCTGAAGACAAGAGCGAGTGAATAACAGAGCCAGAGGTTGTGACTGAGTAACGGCATCAGAGGTAGAATGAAATGCTAGACAACCTCTCCTCCACAGCCACCATTTAGGTAGCCTTCCTATGAAAGGGGAGGCTTTTGTTTCCACTGCCTTTCCCTCTCAGTTCTTGAATCCCAAAGGTGGGTTTGGAGGACAGAACTTCCGGCCTCTCTTTTAAGCCAGTCAGTCACCTAACACCCTTGTAAAAGCCCACAAGGCAACATTTTTTCATCTAAGTTTCAAAGCAATCAGATTGCACCATCGAATGCACAATTAGCCACAGCAAGCGGAAGGCTGTCCTGGGGCACTATCTTGTTTAGGCTCCATTATCAAAACCCAAGGTTGCCTTTCTGAGCTTTTCAGAAACAAGCTGTCACTGTTTCACCATTTGGAAGCTGCCAGCACATCTGCACAGCTGCCCCCACAGTCTGATCTTCTCACCACAGTGAGGAATATCTGGGTCACAACAGGCAGTGAGGGCAAGTTTGTCTGGCACCACTTGCATGTGGGGGTGCTGGGAGTGGGCAGCCTCTGTCTGATGAACTCGGCCAGCACTGGGAGGAGCGGCTGCCTTCTGCACTTCTGCGGCTCCTGCACAGCCCCCCACCCCTATTTTCTTAGTGTTGGATTCTTCATGATAACGGCATCTTTAAAAATAACTTCCTCAAGAGGAAACATCCTAACCAAGCTTCCTGGAGCAGCAATAGAGACTAATTGCTCTTTTAAGCAGCTGAAAGCACCCTTGCCAACAATAATGAAAAGATATGGCCTCATCTCAAAGCCACACTTAAAAAGGAAGTTTACCTATACACAGGGTAGTTTAGGCCAACTCCTGGGGGGAGAGGGATGCAAAGATATCTCAAACCCAAAAACAAAGAACATGAGGAGGAGGCCCCAGGTGCTTTTCATGGCTGTCTAAACATCACCCTGGCTCCCATCCATGTTCCCAACGTTTTCATCCCTTCTTCCACTATCCGGCCTTTCCTCCTGCAGCACAGGTTGCACACCACTCCTGGGCTCTCTGTTTGCTTCCTAAAGACAGGTGGAGCCATTCTCTCCGTCTCCCAAGGTTAGGGAGATGTCCTGGGACATGGACCCTTCTATGGAGTGAATAAAGGCTCTTCATCAATATCCTTGGTGGGTTATGATGGGTACACAACCGAGGGGGCTGTCACCTTGGAACTGGACAACCTTTATTTCCATATTAAGGGGTAAACATCAGCTGATGAG